TTACTTGTTCCTTTGCAGCCTACGCATGCTGACGCAGCTACCTACACGAACTACTAAGACAGAAACATGATATGCTTAAACGTAACAGCAGGACACATGCAAAGCATATACAGGCAGCGAGGAGCAAAGAGGTCAATTTCGAGCCCGTATCTTTTGCTTGGAGTCAAGAAACCCGGGATATAGAAAAGGGGACAATCCAAGTTGAGCATAGATGATGAACTATTTGATGCAAAAACGAGCGCTGTTCGCATATGAACTGTCAAGTGGAGCGACATTCACCTGCTTGTGAAGAAACACATGCTGATGAAGGACACATCCCTGCTTGCCAGACGCATGGAAAGAGAAAACCATCTCCGTTAATAAAAGACTATTAAAAAAATGTACGGTGAATTATTTGAGTTAAATGTATAATCCTGCTTCCTTGTTTGCCGATGACATGCAGATAAGGCGGAGATAACTTCCAGCACTATATTACATGGCTGCGCTGTGCATTTTCTTCTTTACCTCGGGTTTAATAGCACCTTGCAAGAAATTTTTCATTACTAAAGAAAATTGCCTGTTGAAATTTACGATGACTATAAGTACTTGGGACTGGTCATTGACAAAAACATAATATGGGACAAATGTTGTGGCACTTTCGATAAAGAAGGCCAACAGAAACTCTTCTTTCTTAGGAAACTCAGCTACTTGAAGGTAGATAAAACTTTTCTTACACTTTTCCACAAATCACTCCTTTAGCTCATTGAAAGTGTCTTATCATACTGCTTCACTTGCTGGTTTGGCAACAAAAGTACCGGTCATTGTAATAGGTTGGTTAAATTAGTAAATATAAGTGGCAAAACAATCAGGAATAATCAAATCAACTTGAGCATCCTTTACAAACAGAGGGTGACTAAGAAAGCCAAAAGCATCAGGGAGTGTGTGTCTCACCCCCTCCATTGCGAATTCACACTTCTCCCAACTGGGAGACGCCTCTGTGCCCCCAGGTGTAAAACCAACAGACTCAGGAAATATTTCATTCACACTGCAATTACAATGCAAAGTAACTACCTAGTTTATTCCATGCTGAAAAGAGAAGAAAAAAAACACAACGTTTAGAAGGCTCCACCGACGACGCATGCTGACGCAGCTACCCACCTGAACTACCTCGTCTCTTGTTTCTTATCTCCTTTAACACTACTGTATTCTCTCCCCTTTTGGTGATGTTTATTTGCCATCGTGTTGTGTTTGACTGTGCTGTAAAACAAATTTCCCCTAGGGGACAATAAAGCTTGAATTGAATTGAAAAGTGATTATATGGTGGTGTTATTACCTCTTTCCGCTGGGTGGCGCTGTGACTGTTACTAGCGTACTGAAGTACAGCGAGCTCATGCCGTTCTTCGGTGACATTGTGGCTCGGGAGCTGATCCGACAGCTCCAGTAATAAATCTTTACAGTGAGTACTGCACAAATCTGCTGAAGGTTAGGGTAGGGGGCAGCCCTTGTTGGCGAGACGTAGCAACGGTGCTGTTGCGCTGATTTTGGTAGGAAGTCTTGGTAAGACTTCTGAATCAAAAGGGAACGTTTCCCACAAAGGGATTTTAATTTTTTATTCGTTTCACCTTTTGTTTTTGTCAAGAAATGCATCGTCAACGATTTTCGTTTGCTTGAAAGCTGGTATTTTGTTCCGAATGGTTCCGTGCGTTTAAAAAAAAGGGGACGCATGAAAAGTCCGAAGCCGATTCGACCCAAATTGTGTTGTAACCCCTTTTTCACTCGCACTTAAATTCTTACTACCCCGCCAAGTGAACTGATTCGTATGATCCAGATTTCCATCTGCGCTTCTAAATCCAGCGCTAAGCAGAGAACCGTGAACCCCGTTTGTTTGTCATGGTGTTGTCTTACATTGCTGTTCAGGTATAGTAATTTGATTTGTGTTGAAAGGAACACAGACGTTGTACAGTTTCGTGTCGGCGGTGATGGGGTTAATGAAATCAACACAAAACTGCTGCGTGCACGCATTTTACACCTAACCTCTGGAGTAAAATGATCTTTACGTGCGTGCCAAAAAATGTCAGATTCCTAACACCAATAATTCAAATTTACTGCAACGACTGTAGAATTATTAACTAGACAGAGAATGTATTCTGCGCGAATCGCTCCTGTATTGGAAATCACCTGACAGCCCACGAAAATATTGCTGGAGAAGGTGGTGAAAGTGAAAAAAAAAAGGCGAAGGGTGGGGAAAGTTATTTAATCTATTAATGATGCAAAAAAAATGTTACATTTTGCAATTCGTTTACTCTTCTGGGAGTACTTGTTTGAAATAAATCGGAAGGGCCAGTGTCCAAAGACTATTAAATAAACTGAATACATTCTGTCATATTACTGCGGTTTCGGAATTTACTTCTGAAAGGTTGCACTTCCCGATAGCCTGTGGTATGACGCCGGTGAAATAGGCTGCGTCATCTCCGTGGAGTAAATGGCCAAAATTCAGATTTCCGCGAAGAGTCCAGTCCTTGTCCTCCTTAACACACCGAGAAACGGGAAGTGTCCCCAGTTTACAGCCCGGCTAACCGTGAGACACCTCTGCGGACGCGACACCTCGCTTCTAAATAGCAGGAAGGGCTTATTTACGCAGGTTGTCAGGCTCATGGGCGGTTCTTGCCAAAAGATAGGTAGTCGGAGGTGCTCTGTAGGTGGTTTGGGAGTCTACCCGTGTACTTACTGCATCGGCGCAGCCTGTCTCATATCCTCGGCTCTCGGTTGCGATTAAAACCAAAGCACCGCGGTTTCTGGGCAGGAGAGGTGACGCCGAACAAGTAGCCCGATTGCTGGTACAGGTAAGAGCTCGTGTTTGTCTGCAAATCCCTCATTATTATTATTTTTTTTTCGTTGTGGGGGACATAAAATCACGTTACAGCTTTAATACGGTGAAAAAGGGGACGTGATAGTGAGTACGTACGATCTTGTAAATTTGCCTTGCCTACTTTTTTTTTTAGATGTGATCAATTATTAATAGAACTACTTCCTGAAATGGACGTTGTTGGGGGTTTTTTTTTCCGGGACAAACATATGGGATTAGCCACTCGCATAAAATACAGACAGTTCTGGATAATACATGGGGGGCAGGCTCTATCAGTTCATCTTTGCGGTTAGAGGTGGTTTAGTGGACCACTGCTGTCGCATACTGTACGTCCCCGTACCCCCTCGGTTTTGACATCAGGGGCACCAGTTCTGGAAAGCTTGAAGATTTTTAAGACGGGGTTCCGCAGTCGTCAGCGTGATCATACAAATCTAAAAAAAAAAAAATTCTAACTACGTGGAAACATAAAATAATATTTTTATACACGGTGTGAAGGACAGGTACATTTTAGGACACATTTAGGAGAATTGATAAGTCTCATGTTATTGGTTGTTCTGATTTAGGAACTGATGTCTTGTGTTTCAGCCTGCAAAGGCCTTAATGGACAAGGGAGTCAGTCACCTCAACACATTTAGTAATAAGAATAGTAGTAGCTGTGTGTTGCTAAGGAACAAGCAAAGGTTTAACTCCACAATGGAGAGTAGAAACGAGACGCCCCAAGTTTCAGCCGCTGAGCGTTTATTTCACCTTTCAGTGTCAAATTCACCTTTACTTTCTGCTTAGCAGCCAAGGCAAGCTGACGCAGCTCCCTGCTCAGACAGTTTATTACTGCTTTCGATGGATACAAAACGCTGCTGAAAATAGGTGCAGAGTGGTGCCCGAGAGCACAGAAGTGAGACTACTCAGCCAGCAGCTACCCCTACTAGGGGTGTGTTCAATCGGACGTTAGTTATTGGTGCCTCCTGCAGTAATTGCTTGACATTTTGCTGTTTCTCTGTTTACGTCTATTAGACTTGAGACCTCCTGTTTGTTACAAATATACTCATCTCCATTGGGAGGAATGAAGTCCATTCACAAGATAAATGTGGGATTTTCCAGAAACTGATTAGATACCTGCTTTTTGTTTTTGTTACTGTCCTGCAGTGAAAAGGGGGAAACACTTTATTTCTCCTTGGAAAAACAAAACAGTGCACGTAACACACCTTAAACATAGGTTTTAGTGATTCATCAGCTAATGAGTTAATGTTACAAAATAAACGTTTCCAGCAAAAGACTTCATTGCACAACAGTCTCTCTGTTCTGTGCCATAAACTGTGAGCTGACCAGCTCACTCTTGCCTGTGGCTGTTGACTGAGTATGTGGATTTAACATTTCTAATGGCTGCTGCTTGTAAGATGATAAACTGACATTTTTTTTTCCTTGTGGCATCTTTGCTGTTATTCCAATCTCAAGACATGAGTATTTTCCTAATAACCTATCAATCTAGCTGAATGGCACTTAGTCACAACAGGAAATGGTTTGCAGTAGCAACTATGAGTCAAACGAATTGAATGGGCTGACTGATCTTCTCTTTTGTGACCAAGATGTATCTTATTTTCTTACTGGTATTGTTGTTTATTGGGTCTCCCGAAGAGTGTAGCTTATTTAGAAGGCAAATAAAAAAAGAAAAGTATTTTGAAGGTGAGGTCTACATGAGCATTATTTAAAAAAATGAGGGGAACAAATGCATTTTCTGTAAGGGGAAAGTGCACTAGTACAACAATAATATTTTAGCAATTCAGTAGGGGATGTGGGCACTCTACTGCTCTATCTATCTCTGAAGTGGCTTTGAGATCCCATGGGATCACAAGAACTGTATAAAACTATAGTATTAATATTTATATAATGGCATTTATTTTAAAAATACTTCTGGTTTTAAATATAGTTTAGTCACTAATATATGGTATCGTTCTCGTGCATATAATACATTTTATAATGAGTATATACATCTACATTTAAGATGTCTTTCTTTGTAGTATTGCACCATCTTTTCAGGTGCACATTAAACATTTTTACTACAGTATATACTGTCCATAAATATATGAGAATATACAGTATGAAAGTCTCCACATGCTTCCACAAGAGTTTTCTTTATGTGTGTTTATTGCAAATGTTTAGACTTAGAAATGTTTAACATTGATATATGTTAAAAACACACTTTTAAAAGGATTGTTTTAAAAAATGTCTTTAATGTGGTTTATGGCAATGATCTTTCGAATCTATGGTGATTACAGCATCATTCATCAAATTACACAATGCCTTTTTTTATTCTCCTATAACAGGGGTTTGCAATTTTTCTGGTACTGGAGAGCTGTGGTCTCTGCAGATTTTCAAGGTCTCTTTAAAGCCGAGGCACATGAAGAGCTGACAGAAGCTGTTGAAGGGGACCAGTTAAACCAGTAATCAGCTGGCCTTGCTCATTAACAGCTGAGTTGGAGTTAGAACCCACAGACACACTTTGTAGGTCTCCAGAGTCAGGACTGGACTCTCTTGATCCAGGGCAGTATTTTTCAACCTTATCTAACCTAGAGCACACGTATATGAATTTAATTTTTTTAAGGCACACGCCTGCATGCTGGTCACTAGCCCAAGCACATTATTATTAATACTATAAACACAATTTATTTCACTGTTTAACCTGAGTTTGCAGCAAAATACATAGTTGTCTGGCGCATCCGGTCTTGCAATGTGGCCTCTGTCCTGTGCATATACCGATAGTGCAACACGACACTTTGGTTACTCAACACAAACCTAAAGTAAATAGAAACGATATTTGACTTAGACATTTAAAATTTTTCTCATGTGTGAGCTTTCCAAATTCCACAGCACACCCGTTAATGTCTGAAGATACACCGCTGTGCCACGACACATCTTTTGAGAAATGCTGATCAAGGGTAAACACTAGTATCCAAAGACTGGGCAGCTCGCCCTTACTGGTTAAGACTGCCTATCACTGTGCCTGTTTGAGCCTGAGCTTTCCCTGGATCGGGAATGTGAGAAAACAGGCAACAACGCCTTGATGAGTCAACCAGTGAACTTTAGGATTTCGTGTCTGGTGCTGTCAGGTTACTACAGGCATAGAGCAGGGCACAGGCTGGAAATGAAAGACAGAATAAAAGGGGCAAAATGATTCTAAGAGCCTGACATTCTTAGAACATGGCCTGCACTGTTGTGCTACACAATCAGTGGGAAAGTTTTGGTCTTTTTATTCTTTATTCACAAATTATCCATGGCTCTGTAAGGACATGACAGATTGAGGACCACTTTTCTAAGTAATCATTCTGTGAATTTCATAGTCTGGATTATGATTTTATTCACCATGCTCGCAGGGATTAGGATAAATTTATATTGTCTCTTGGTTTATCCTTTCATACTCCACTGACATGTGGCTGTTATATTCAGCTGTTTTATTCCTCTCATTGTGGCTGAAACAGACATTAAACTAAGCAAATGACTCAAGTGAGACAGTTCACCATGTGTTACTGTTGCGTGGGGTGCCACAGGGACCCTTCTAGGGATAATAAAACGGGACATTTTTACAGGTCTCACCAGTAAAAAAAAAGTTAATTGACAGCATTTTTCTTTAGCTTTGGGTGATGGTTGTCTAAGGAAATCTGCATTTTCACTTTCATATGGGTTGTATTTTAAAATACTATTTTAGCCTGCATGGGTTTCTCTTACAGTTTAGGCAGAGTGGTAAAGTTTAAAAACACATTTCTTGATCATACTGATGAAAATTGAAATGATGCCTACAAAATGAATAAAAATCCAGAATACTGGCTGAAAGATCAGAATTCCATGTTTCCACAAAAAACTGACGTTTACTGCAGGGCAATCTACAGGTGTGTCTCTCATTTCTAAGAAGAAAGCTCCATGCTACTGGCCCAGGATCTTTACTGTTTGTATTCATTTTGCTGTCTCTGTACTGTTTCGTTTGCACTGTGCAGGTACTCAGTAGAAGTTTCAGTGGGGTGCTGTATAAGTGTGCATTGGCTGCAAAGAAACAAGTAAAGGTTAATTTCATACTGAAAAGTGGAAAGAAGAAACTCACCTGGTACTTACACCTGAGGGCTCAACTTTTCAGTGTGGAATTCACCATGACCTGTTCCTTAGGTACTACAATATGTCTACACAGTTCGTTTTGTGTGTGTTTTTAGTATCTTCTGTAGGTACAAAGTTAAGCATAGAATTATCACAATATCAATCCTGGGAGGCATTAAAATTCTCTATTCTAGTTGAGGAAAATAAGCTGCTGTGTTATATTTAAAAAATCTTTATCCTGGTTCATTCCAAAAGGGAGCTCTGTGCATCTTTAATCCTCTTTTATAGTCTTACTTTAGCTTAGATAGACGATTACGCGTAGCATTATGATATCTCCTTGGGGGCAGGCTTTCACACGCTGCTCGTGTGGTCCGTATTTCTGTCTCGCAGGAATGCCGAGGTAGTGTTTCAGAATTTCTCGAGTTGCTGGGCTTGCCGAGAGGAACCAGGCAAGAATTCAGCATGTCCGCCATGAGTCCTGATGAGCAAGAGGATGTGGCACTTCGGATCCTGACCACCTGCAAACTGTGCCTTAGCATGTATCCTTCCACTGAGATGAGCAGGCTTCACATGTGCGACTGCATCTTCTGTACTCCGGTAAGTCTGGACAGCTAGTCTGCTGGAATGAGTCAGCACTGAGCGTACGTCCAAGGGCTTTCTAACAGTTTGGTGTGTTTCATTCAATAAATCACATGGCCTGCCTATTGTGTTATAATGTAGGCTGCTTCTAGACTCATTTTAGAAAGTTAACTTAATAATAAGGTTTGAAAAATTGGGTAGCGTGGTGGCAGGGTGGTTAGTATTTATAGCTCACAGAGCTGCAGCCCTGGGTTCAGTTCCTGGGCAGCTGTCTGAGTGGTGTTTGTATGTTCTCCCCATGTTTCCTGCAGACTCTTCAGTGTCTTCCCACTGTCCAAAGTCCTAGTGCTAGGTTATTTGATGTTTGTGTCTGGGTATCTGTCCTGTGATAGACTGGCGTCCAGTCCAGGGTGTATCCTGCCAGCAGCCATATCACCCTGCAGCTCACAACTGGCAACCCACTGAAGCTAAGCAGGTGTGAGCCTGGTCAGTACCTGGATGGGAGACCTCTTGGGAAAAACTAAGGTTGCTGCTGGAAGAGGTGTTAGTGTGGCCAGTAGGGGGCGCTCACCCTGCGGTCTGTGTGGGTCCTAATGCCCCAGTATATTGACAGAGATGTGCTGTCCTTCGGATGAGACGTAAACCCGAGGTTCTGACTCTCTGTGGTCATTCAAAATCTCGGGACTTTCCTGAAAAAAGTAGGGGTGCTACCTCAATTTCTTGTTGGCCTTTACCAATCATTTCCTCCTAATAATCCCCATCTATAAACTGGCTTCATCACTGTTCTCCTCCCCACTGATAGCTGGTGTGTGGTGAGTGTACTGGCACACTATGGCTGCCATCGCATCATCCAGGTGGAGCTGCACATTGGTGGTGGTGGAGGGGAGTGCCCAGAAAAGTGATATATAAGTGTAGAGAATTATTATTATTATTATTATTATTATTATTATTATTAATGTGCTCATTGCCTGCCAGAACAGGCTCTGGCTGCCCCGCAGCCCTGAACTGGATAACCGGTAAAAAAATGGATGGATGGGAAAAACAGTGCTGTTCTGAGTAAATGATTTTGAAAGATTTTATGACCCATTGATTAGAGACAGGTTTCAACTCAACTCACCTAAGTATACCAGCAATAGAAAAGGTCTTGGAGCGAAACTATAATCAAAACCAGCTAGCTAACAACAGCCTTGTCTTGAAAACATTAATGCATTCAAACCAGGGAAGGTGTATGTGGTACAGATTAACATGCTTCATAGCATTTTCATCTAAAATAACACGTAACAGGAAAAACAACATCTCTTGAACAGTTTGGCAGTGTGTGCTGTCACACTGCTACACCTAGTTACGCCTGTAAAATATGCTGGACTGTTCATACCGTTAATAGACTGTGCATTTATTTTCTTAGCAAAAAGCAAGTGGACTCTACTGAGGATTATTGAAATCTGTATTTTCAGTCTTGAGCTTCTGAAGCCTCACTGTCATACATCATCTGCTGAGCGGACCCTTTTTATGTTTGCTAGGCCCTGATGTCATAATACACAATCTTAGCCAAGCACTGTTTCTGGTTTTGGTTCTCCTTTCTGAATTTGCATTTACGTACAACCGACACACGCTTTCTTGGAACCCTTTAGAAAGTGCTCATACATAGAAACATACAGTTCGGACTAACGTGACACTTCGGTGATCCTCGGCGCTTTGTCTTCCATGTAGTGCCTGCAGCAGTACGTGCTGTTCGCCATCGGAGGGGGCTGTGGAGCACCAGTCACCTGCCCAGACATGGCCTGTCGGGAGAAGGGGGTGCTTCTGGATTCTGAGGTACGGCCGCTCTGGCCATCGGTACAGGAAGCACAGCAAAGCCAAGGGATGGGCAAACTGAGAAAGGGCTCCTGTTTAGAAGGCTACTTGTGCTTCGTATAGTTTAATTAGCTCATTGTTCCCTTAATTAATTTTCCTCTCCACATGTGCTGGATTGTTCGGAGAGAGTAGTTCCTGTGAAGGCGACCCAATGGCTTTGACAATAAATGTCGAGGAAACTAGGTTTGCAAAACGGTCCGAAGCCCATTGGTGTGCACACAGCCCACTTTGTTTTTTCATGCAATTACCTGCCATGTGAGTGTCTATATTTACAGTACCTTCCACAATCTCTTATTAAACACATTTAACACATATTTAAGAACATATAGCTCTTCCTAGCTCTGATATAAATGCCCTTCCTTACATTGCTTACTTGTCAGTATCCCATATTTTACCAAATTAAAGCCATTGCTAAGCAAACCACTTGCTCTGTGTTTAAACTGACATTATACCTGGGGATATCCACAGACTGTAGTGGCCTCTTCAACAGTCTTATCTTTAGTATGCATTGACTTGTGTATCTTCAGTGAAATGCAGCCAAGAATGCTATTAGTGTTTGTGTAATCACTTAGTCATGTCTAAAATGGTTCTTTCAAATATTGCCAAACCTTATTCCCTTGAATAGACAAGCAAAGACCTGTTACAGAACCTGATAATTGGTATTACTTTTCCATCGAGAGATGGTGATTGGAAATGTGATCTTTCCTTTTACCGTTTTCTTTTTCTACAGATTGCCTGTTTTGCCCCTTCAGATAAAGTCCAGCTTTATCAACGACTGAAATATGAAAGAGGTACAGTACTGTTTGTTTCTTGTCACAATGCAGTGTGAAGGTCTTTTTAACCATCTGTGCTCTCATCCTCAAACCTGTCTGTCTGATTACAGTTTGGGCTGTTTCCCTTTACTAGATAGTTTTTTTGTTAATCTGGTTTCAAGAACATTTGAGACGCATTCAGCAGATGTGTGCTTAGCAATGCACAATCTATCACGTTTGTTGACCTTAATGTAAGTAATGGCAGAACATGTGGTTTTAGCTTTTCACTATTTGGTTTTCAGCTGCCCTTGATCATATAGAAGAACAACGCTTATAAAGAAGTTGGGGAGTGTAATATTTTACAATGTGTCCCACGAGTAAGAAGAGTGTACAGTACGTCACATGATGTTTAATTTTTATATCCTGACCTTCTTTATTTTATTTCTAGCTGATTATTGGTAAAACATTCTGTTTCCTTGGAAAATACAATATGTACAATTCAGAACCACTGGACGTTAGAAATATTGCACAACCACAGCAGTCAGCCGCTAAGAAGCCAAATAAGGTTCATTGCACCAGGGAGTGAGTGATGGAGAAACCGGTAGTTTTGAAACTTGCTAATCACGGATGTCAAGAACTGCATGTAATGGATGCGTTTCCAGAGAGCTGATGTCAGCGCTTGTGTCTGGAGTCGTGAAAAAGTGCTGGTTCGTGTCTGCGGCTTGTTGCTCCCACACAGAAGAAAGTTTGAATTTAGTCCTTGTCAAAAGCTAATGGAACAAAGTCAATTCCAAAATATAATGTGTTTGAGAGAAGAAATAATTTAAGTTAGTGCTACGTCAGGGACATCATTTCCACTTCATCACAGGCCAATAAAAACCTGTAAAATGAAGAAAAGTTTATTTCACTTTCGCTCAGTATTGATAACCGTGATTTTGCAGGTCAAGCTTAAATAAGAACTATCCAGGCTTACGTCACTGCTCATACCTCTTTGGATTGATTTAATAAAACTGCTTTTTTATTTCACTCTTATTAATCCACTTTTAAATCTTTATTACCTGGATGAGGGACAGTACTAGAATCCAAACCAGGAAACAGAAAACTTGAGTGAGGAAGTTTAAAACAGAGTCAGCTTTCTGTCTGCCGTCAGGGAGATTGTACAGCAACAGAACCTCCGTCACAGGAACAATTCTCAGAAATCAAGAGCAGACGTAGCTGCTTACGTATACCTTATTTGCGCCACAAAAGCTGATCCTTATTACAAAGAACTATTGATTCTAACAGATGTTGTTCTATTTGTTATCGTATCTCAGGAGCTTGGTCAAGCGCATACTGTCCCTTACCTCCCAGTTTCACTCCTCTTGCTTTTACTTTGCTAGTGTTCCTTGTTGGCATGTCTTTCTCATGCGTGTCGGTGTAGTAGCTACTGCAAGTTCAAGGTAAGGCATTCAGCCTGCTCTGCCAGGGCCTTTCGAGAGGGAAATATTTACAGTGTGTTTCCAGGCCGTGTAAGGCAGGGCTGTCCAGTCCTGGAGAGCCTGTGAGTCTGCAGGCCTTCAAGGTCTCTTTATCATGGAAAGGCAACTGGGAGAAGCTAAACCCGTGACCAGCAGGTTTCGCTCCTTAAGGGCCGAGCTGGAATGAAAACCCGGAAGACCCAGAAAAACCACCGGGCCTCTCTCTCAGTCCACGGGTTTGAGGAAAGAGAAGATGACAGAGAAGCACAAAGCAAAACTGCAAAGTGGAATAACAATCCTGCTTTTTGAGCCCCTGTGTTTTGAATAGTACCATTCCAGCCCGAGCTTCCTTCTTGTGCAAATTCAGTTGCAGTACCCTGCGTGAACCAAACAACGTATCTAATTGAGTTATTTTGCATACAATAAAAACTGCGACAGGAAATGGGCAAATTCTGTACAGACTGCATTTGTTGGGGCAGCCACCATGAGAGTGATGATGCGATACTGCTGCTAATTTCCATACCTTGTTCATTCAGTTTCTTTTCTTTCTTCCCTCTAGGGGTGCAGCTGGATCCCAGTAAGACCTGGTGTCCTGTCTTGAAGTGCCAAGCAGCCTGCAGTGTTGACCCACGCAGTGACGGCCAGCCGGGGTCTGTGCTCTGCCCGGCCTGTCGCACGGTATTTTGTTCAGTGTGTAAGAGTGACTGGCGTCAGGGGCATTCCTGTTCCAAAAGCCAGCCGCTGAAACGGCCTTCCTTTGATAATGGGTGAGTAAAACATTGTCGCTTGATTACTGTCGCCTTATGCATTTTAAACACCCATTCCTGGAGTCGTAGTTAAGCACATTGTTCATTACGTTAAACACCTTCATTTATTTAGGAAGAATGAATATTGAAATTCATTGGTATATTAATGAGAACGGGTATGTTCCTGACATCGCTTTGGTTTCGTTGTGGAAAGAATCGTATTTTATTTTTAAATTCACAATTCTATTATGTTAAAAAAATCTGAAGGTTTTCTTCATGCCGTAAGTATAAAAGGAACAGATTGCTGTTCATATGTCTTAGATTACATGTACAGTATGTAGTAACCATCAACAATTTCCTCAGAGTCTTCAGTACTGTTGTCTACTTTTCTAACAACCTCTACTGAATGTATTTGAAATAAATAGCAAAACTTTTATCTAGTCGCCAAAGTACTGTGTTTCTGCATAAAATGTTGAGTGGGAATGGCAGAACAATGCAAAGTGTCTAAGACTTTAAAGCACTCAGGTGAGACTGATGACAAAAAAAGATCTTATTTGACATTTTTGTGTCTTGATCAAGCTGTGTATGCAGTCAGACAGTAGGAAAGCAGGTTTTCCACTGGGCAGGGGGCAGGCTGAAACAATCCAAAGTGTCTGTGATGAGAATGTAACTGAAGAAGTCGGGAATAGCGCCCCCTGCATATCTAGGGGAAACGTAGGAGCTGGAGGAGGTTACATACATTTGCGAGACGTGAACTACTGGCTAATCATCTCCAAGCCCACATGAAATCTAAGCACAGCGATTGTCAAAATTCTGTATCGGCAGCATCCAGGTCAGCGATGAAGCAGACTCTCCCATCAAGCAGTGTCCCGGGTGTGCCGTGTACATAGAGCGAAACCAAGGATGTGCACAAATGCTGTGCAAGAACTGCAAGCACACCTTCTGTTGGTACTGTCTGGAGTGTTTAGATGTAAGGTTGCAACATTTTTCTTTTGTATTTAAGAGGGGGTGGATGGAGGCAAGGTGGCACAATGGTGCGCTATCTGCACGGAGTTTGAATGTTTTCTGGGTGCTCCAGTTTCCTCCCAAACTCCGAAGACGTGCTGGTACTGTAGGTTAATTGGCTTGTGGGAAAAGGGGCTGTGGTGTGAGTTTGTGTGCGTGTGTATTTGTGTCTGTGTGTGCCCTGCGATGGACTGGCGTCCCACCCCGGGTGTATCCTGCCTTGCACCCATTGCTTGCTGGGATAGGCTCTGGCTCCCCCAGAGCCTGTATTTAGATAAAGTGCTTAGAACATTGATGGATGGATTTTAGAGTAGGGAAGGGGAATTTTGAATCGTTATTTAATCCATTTTGGCTCTGGCCCTAAGGAGGTATTGCAGTTGGAGGTTATCAGGCTGCTCACCTGTCTTGGAGCACTAGATCTAAAGTGTCTGCTGGAAGACACCTGTACTGAAACAGCTCTGTGAGTGTACCTATATTCAATACCAGATCATAGAAATATGAGATTCTAACGGTCCAATGTACACGTTTATCTACGTTATCCACAATTTATAAGGATGTTCTTATAAAGTTCCTTATAAGGTCAAATGTTGCTCCAACTGAGTAAACTAAAACATTGCATTGACTTAATACTATCGTCATACTTAACGTTTTATGCCGGAAATATGAAAATATGTTTTTCTACTTTCGCTCTTTGGTAGAGATGGAGAGTTGGAAAAGACAATATATAATCATGCCTAATGCACTCCTCTTGGGGGGAAAAAAGGATGTCTGCAACACACCATGCTGTTAATAATGTATTGCATGTTTTCTCTAAACCCTATTCCGACTTTTAAGAATCTATAATTAAAAATATCTCTCTTTATCAAACAGGGTGACATATTTCTGAGACATTACGATAAAGGCCCATGCAGGAATAAACTTGGGCACTCCAGAGCCTCAGTGATGTGGAATCGAACACAGGTGAGGGGAAAACTAGTGGTCATCTCCAGTCGATTGTATACTTGCTTTTGGCAGTCTTGGCGTTTTACTGCCTTTAAATCTTAGGCAGTTGTCTTGAGAAATTTAAAAAAGTTCTGGGTAGAGTCCTTCCAGACCCTCTTCTCGTGTGGGTTATATGGGAGTTCTCAAACCAAATATTTGAGCGACTGGACTGTTATTCTTTCGTCCTTCTTAAATCTCTTTTCCTCAGTGTCAGAAAATGCTATATAATTGGAAGAATATGTGCATGACATTTTCATACCCATATTGTAAAATTAGTCTTTCTTGTTAGCTCCATTAATTACTTATGTTTTTGATTAATATATATTTTCTCTGCACTCATGAAATCTCACCATATTGTAAACCTTTTCACAGACTTTATTAAGTTAGTGTTTTTCTGTATTCTAGCATAAAATGGAACCGTGTGTTTGAGCCTGTCTTCAGAAGGCTGTTCTGAATTTTTCATGGCACTGATACCCTAACCTCTCATGCTTTCTTCTCTCAGGTGGTGGGTATCCTGGTGGGCGTGAGCATAATAGTGCTGGTAACTTCCCCTCTCCTTGTCCTTGCCTCTCCTTGTATAATCTGCTGCATCTGTAAGTCCTGTCGAGGCAAGAAGAAAAAGAAAGAGACCCGGCCTGATACAAAAATCTAGTTTTTGCTTTTTTTTTTAAAAAAAAAAAGTGCCTTTCCCTGGTTTAATACCAGCCCTGTCCTGAAGAGTACACAGGTGCCTGTGATTAATGTGCCTGTACTTTGGTTCAAATTTACTGCGTATTTTTATAATAAAAAAAAAGAAAACGGCAAAAAAAAAAAGCTTGTACCTCCTGTTAAAAAGGTATTCTAATTCGGTGTTGGAATGATTCTAATGCATAAATAATACTACTATTATTTTACTAATATTTAAAACATTTGAGAAGTGTGGATTATCTTACGTGATATCATGGGGTTGGTCATAAATTATGTCAACTGCAGTACTGGTCTCTTTATATACAGGTTTTATAGTAACGACCAAGGAACTTAAAGGAATTAATTGTACCTTCCTGTCATGAATTTCGCCCTAGTTTCATATCCTATTATGTGTTAGACTATTGTATCCCTTGGTAGGGAAAAAAAAATATTAAGCTAGTTCCTGAACTCACCTCTTTAAACACTGCGGATGGGTCAGGCAGTCTTATTGAGGCTTCTCCCCTTGTATGTCAAGAGGATGGAAGCTGAGATTTCTTCTTTTAACTCTTGGAGATTCATACCTGCACACACTGACTCCTTCACAGATTGGTATTTCACATAGCACTTTGACAAATGGACGAAATCCACATTTTCTTGCGGGTTACGATGTGCCAAAATGGCTTTGGAAAGTGTACTAGATAGCAGAAGGGTTTAGCTGGGTTTAACAGGCAGGACATGGAAAGCCTTCCTGCGTTACATTTTTTTTTTTACATTCTGTATCCTGTACAAACCAAAGGGGTTAGATTTTCAGCTTGTACCATGTACATAATCTTATTTATGAATGTATTATGTTTTGTTTATACTGTTTTTCTGCCAACGGTCAATTAAAAACTAAAACAATTCCCAGAAACTTCAGCCTTTCTTGTCTGGCCTGTGTGTTTTAATTTATGACAGTTTCAAACAGGGACACGTAATTCCCTTTTTATTTCCTCACTTTTACAGTATCACAAGTGTGATCATCGGTATTGAAAGAACTAATCAAGCAAAACAGTCCTAACATTATTGGGTTCAAGTATTGAAATACATAGAGTTAAACTATAACCGGTTGTCATCAACACACTTTTATTTAGATCTTCTTAGGCTTTTTGCTGTTAGAACATGTTACACATTGTATGCAGTGGTTGGGGTAAAATGTTATTTGTTAAAATGGCAAGATAATACATAATAATGATAATTCTTTGCGATTATATAGCGCTTTTCTGGACACTCCGCTCAAAGTGTTTTACAGGTAATCCTGTGGACAGGTAAACCACGACAAGTGTGCAGCCCCACCTGGGTGATTTCTGTCAAGATGCACTAGTCCGCTCCCCACACACCAGCTCTCAGTGGGGAGGAGAGCAGAGGGATGAAGCCAGTTCAGAGATGGGGATTATTAGGAGGCCATGATTGGTAAAGGACACTGGGAATTTGTCCAGGACACCGGGGTAACACCCCTACTCTTTTCATGAAGCACCCTGGGATATTTAATGACTGTAGAGTGTCAGGACCTCAGTTTTCCGTTTCATCCAAAGGAGGGCAACGTTTTGTTTACAGTACAGTTTCCCCGTCACTATATTGGGGCATTAGGACCCACACAGACAGCAGGGTGAGCGCCCCCCTACTGGCCCCACTAACACCTCTTCCAGCATCAACCTTAGCTTTCCCAGGAGGTCTCCCCTACAATTTAATTCCTGTATTGCTGCGTTTTGTTTTTAAATGCACCAGAAAACACCTTATTAGGAGGAAAGAAATTCTCTGAGAATGTCTGCCGGGGTTGTGTAGGGTGCCAGTTAGCACCTACACTGAAGAAAGGCGAAATTAAAAATCTTGAAAACCGGAGGGATCAATCCAGCTTCACAGTGTTTCATGAAGCAGTCAAGAAACGGAAGAGCGCAAACTATTGTGTGCAAAAAGTGTTAGTGTTGGTGTGTGCTGAAGAAAAGGGTTTAGCATTTTAAATTTGTTGTTTTTTTCAGCAGAAACGGTATCTCGAAGCAGATGAGGACGGAGGAGGCTTTGCTATGAATTGTTTCTGTCCAGGTCTAACAGCCCTTCACTGCCTAGGAAACACGGTTTCATTCACCCATCACCAGAAAACAGTTTCTTCTTAGGGCAGCGGTGGGGAAACGAAAATAATGCAAAAACTCAGCTGAACCAAAGAGAAAACTGCAGTTCTACAGAAAAAAATCTTTAAATGCAAAGTGCACGTCTTGCAGAAATTCATCTTCAGTACTCCGCATTATTTTAGATGGCACTGTGTGTTGATGAATTACTTTCTGTAAAAACGGTTATTGGAAAGGGGGGAGTTTCTTGCAAGAAAATCAAGTTGTTGGAAACAGTATCCTAGCTAGATCTATGTGAGCAAAACTCATCTTCTAATGTACCGATAACGCCAGGTAGCTCGTTTTAAAAATTACAATACAAATTCCTTAATGTGATTTCGAGGGGGAAAACTATATAATAAAAGGGTATACTGTACAGTCGTTTTATGAAAACTGTCAGTAGCGGAATGGTGGAAACGCAGCCTCTAAATGAAACACAACTGAGGTTGTTTCTACATCAGAAATGCTGAGCAGTGAACAGAATTGTAAAGCGCGGCTTCGGAAGTCCTTAAAACTACAGTATATGGGGTTTAAAACGTGCTCCATGCCACGGGAATACAAAGGGTGTAATTTGGGAGAGAAGCAGTGTTCAGGAAAGAGCAGAGGAAACTCTATAGACACTTATTGGCAGGCCCTAACCTGCCAAAGGAGAAGTACTCTTATATAACTGGAAGATAACACCGATAAAGTCCATATGTCGTGTATAGTTTTTGAGCTGGCCTGGTAATTGTGGCTCGTACTGTGTAATATAGTTGTTTATTCTTTACAGCTGTAACTTGTACAATGATGTCTAAATAGAGTGACGACAGTTAAAAGTTATAGTTGTTATTATCATCATCAAGGTGGATGCTGCACATTGGTGGTGATGGAGGGGAGTCCGGTGAGTGGATTGTCCAGAAAAGCGCTATATATGTGTCAGAAATTATTATTATTATAGGTTGTAAAGATGTGGGGAATGGGATTCTTTTCGCAGACAAAAAAACGGACACATGGTTGTAGGGTGACACCATGTGGCAGTAACCTGCAGTGCAAGGCGTGCTTTGCATAGTCCCACTTGGTAATCAGTAACTCTCGACAGGAGTCGAGGACTTTCCGAAACCACCCTTCACTGCAAAAGACAGAAATATGGCAGATGTCGAGTATTTTCGTGGTAGGTAACAGTGTATTTGTAAAAATTGTACTTCTTATCGTGTTTAATTAACTGGGCGTGCACTACGCATCAGAGCAACCGAGAACGCTGACGTACTGTAACAAAGTGAAAAGGAAATCGTCTCTTTGCTCTCACGTCCGAAAGACTGTACACGATCTGTACGGTGTGTTTTTATTTGGTGGCCTTTATAAATAACACAAAGTACGAATAAAGATACTATTATTGACAAGCTCAAGGGGGGACGTAGGCGTAGGCCTTTATTGTATTTAAAAAAATACTACTTGGGGTGTTACTCTGACAGTGAAAAGTATTTAGGAATTAATGACCGTAGGTCACAGCGGATATAAAAATACTGTAAGCTTCTGTGTAACTTTTTCGTAACTGGTAGTACTCTGTAGATAGATTTAAGGTTGTTCGAAACTTAAAAAAAGTTTTAAAAGTGTAAAATTTACCCGAGATCTGTTACTGGGAGTGGAGAAGTGCTTTGTGTAATTTTCTCCTGTTTTGCCCCATGCAGAAATACCAGGTGCCGAGGACAAATGTCATTGTCACCACATTTAAATCAGATTTGTCTTCTCAGTACGAAAGGCCCTCCTGAGGGTTTTACCTGTCCAGGATGTGCATGAATAACTATCACGAACAATGGCAAATTTGTATCTTAAGAGCTGCATATCCAACAACCTAACAGTTCAAATATAAATAAATAGGGTCATCTTCTACTCGCTTGCACTTTGCTTTGAATTGGCTTTAATGCTTTTTGCCTTAAAAAAACTTCATTTCCAGAAGCTGCTTTTGGATTTGTTGAGAGAAAGACGCGTACAGCCAAGTCTGACTGCACAGTGTGTTCACTTTTACCTTACCAAAATACCTGATCTGTGTCATTTCTGTAACATTTTTGTATGTGGTGGCGCCTTAGGCATTTACTATTCAAGCACCACAGAGTTCTTTACTTTGGAAAAGACAATGATAAGAAAGAGCTGTAATGCAGTG